TGAGGTAACGCTGAACTTAGGTTGATATTAGTTCCTCGTATACGTTTCGATTTGAATGGAAGAATCTTCCTTTCTTGCATCGAAGTATAAAGATATGATTTTCGCGACTTCGGTTAATGGGGGTTTGTGAATTTTGTGGTTAAGGAAGGAGATAACCATCGTTAAATCTCGTTAAATGACTTATGATTGAAGACTCCTGCATTATTTGTGTTTATCCTAGTTTTACGCTTTGCTCTGCCCTTTGCATTATTGATGTGTGTATATTCAGTGTCTTAACATGTTGCTGAGTTTTTGTCAGAAATAGTTGTACCAGAATATAGGATAATGTTCATAAATGTGTTATTGCTAATTGAATGATGCATAGAGCATAAAGCCCTTAGCATATCATACTCTAAGCGGCGTTTCTGCCATCTATCTTTTTTTTTGCATAGGTGATGTAAATGTGTAAAAAATTTATAATAAACGTTTAATTGCGTGAACAGAATTCTTTAGTTATCCCCGAAAGAAAATAAAATGAGCCTGAAGAGAGCAGGTATAGGGCAGCGTATAGGGCGTGTCGGCAGTAAGTGAGCCGGAGCCCGGCAGGACTGATTCGTTGCAGCCGAGCGCCAGCGCCCAAATAAGGCCTTACGCAGAACGTTTTGGGCCCCTTAATAAGCGGACATCCTTGCTGGATTACTGCTTCCCTAATGCTTCTATCATGCTCTTGGTTCAGCGCCAGCCCAGCTCCTACACTGCTTCTAATTTTGACTGGGTATTTTAGATCTTTTCGGGAGCTTATTCAATAAAGCATATTTTGGTTGACTTCTTTCATTCCTAAAATTACAATAATTTACATTTTTGATGACTTTCCTAAGGCTGAGGCTTCCCATCATGTTGATGCATAGACTGTTTTAACTGTGGGCTTGGAATTTTTTGAAAACTGCTGCGCTAAATAATATAATCATCGTACACTCAGTTAAGTTATGCTCCCGATAACACCTAGTCTAGATTACGAACTATCGTTTCTGTTATGAATTTATCCTGTGTATATATTGACTTCATACGGTATAACTTGAATGGAATACGATGATGATGCATCTAAATCTCGGCCATCTGAATATGAAGCCTTGATTAGTGCCTATCATCTACGATATGAACATTATATTCCCTTCATATTTATTCGTTAATAAAAATATTCATGTTCGGGAGAAACGTAACATTATTATGGCAGCCGATAGTTCGTAATCAAGGCTAGGTGCTACCGGGGGCATTTTTAAAGTTGATTCCGAGAGGTGGCGATCGATGGCGCATCGATGCGCCACCGCCGCTAATGGGTAATTATTGGTGGGACATAGTTAAGTTTTTAGGCTAGGGTGGCCATCGGCAGGTGATAGGTGGAACATAGACCGGACACGCCATCGATGCGCCATCGGTGCTCCGCCCGCCTATAATTTCCACCTATAGCCACCGATAATCATCGATGCGCCACCTTAAATTTGTATTTGGGTAGGAAGTCCCAAACTCACTGCTTTGGGAGTTAATTCTGAATTGAGTCATAAGCACACCACTACACCACCACCACATCACCTCCATCAAAGATCCTGCAGCAAGTGTAGCGGCAGTGTAGGTGTCAGGATTCACCACACCACCACCACATCACCTCTATCAAGGATCCTGCAGCAAGTGTAGCGGCAGTGTAGGTGTCAGGATGCAGGTACACTGAAGTGTAGCGGTCCTGCAGAGCGTGTAGCTGCTGCTCTGAGTAACTCTGCGTCTCCGCCATCAGAGCGATCAGCTCTGCAGAGTGAACCGCCGCCAGCTCCTCCGCGCTCGCCTTCCTGCTCTGTTGCACAACACAACACAACACAAATTTTAAATCTTGAATCATTATTCAACAAATATTTGCGATCGATATTTAAATAAAAGTAAAACCAATGTGAAAATTTGAAAAAAATTTAAACGCTAATAATTTAAGGGAAATGGTGCAGGCGGTGCAGGAGGCACACAACGCACCTGCAGGCGGTGCAGGAGGCACACAACGCACCTGCAGGCGGTGCAGGCGGTGCAGGAGGCCGGTACTCTGCAGGAGCTTCATGATCTCGCGCGTCCTGGCAGGTCGCTCAGGGTGCGAGCTGCACGCATAAAAATACGTGAGTCAAGCGTGCGTGCACGAACTGAAGCTAGGCGCAGTACTACGTGGTGCTTATGAATGAAATAATCGTAATTTCCGAGTAATAGAAAATATGCATTAAAATGTTTATCGTTTATTGCTGTTATATCGTAATTATAATTATGTAGTACTTAATTAATGCATAATAAATGTTAATGACTTGAGCTCGAATATTCAGTGATACTTCATTACTATTTACTCATTATTCCTATTATTTATATTATTTTATATTATATTATAATTTATTATTATATATTATAATATTATATTATATTATATTATATCATATTACTAGTGCTACTTCATTACTAGCTTGATCATAAAATAAAATAATAAACACATTATGCTATTTTACAGCCAACTACATTAATAATTAACTATTAATTATAATAATATGCCCCGCACCTCTCAGTCTGGCAGTGATGCGTCTCCATGGCAACGTCGTGCACGTAGCAGACCTGTATGGGCGCTACGGTCAAGTCTGTACCTGCAAATACAGACAAATGAAGACTTGATCACTCAGAAAAATGAAGACTTTGTCCACAAATATTACGCATTGAACACTCAGAGAAATGAAGAATTTGTCCACAAATATTACACATTGAATACTCAGAGAAATGAAGAATTTGTCCACAAATATTACACATTGAACACTCAGAGAAATGAAGACTTTGTCCACAAATATTACACATTGAACACTCAGAGAAATGAAGACTTTGTCCACAAATATTACACATTGAACACTCAGAGAAATGAAGACTTTGTACATTTAGCGATTCACGACTGCGGATTAAGACGAATATCGAATACACAAGTGAGTCATGTTGACCTACCTACCAGTGAAAGTTTACAGACGTGTCAGCTTCTGATTTTGAGTACCAGAAGCTGGGCAACTCTAAATTTTGTTAGGGGCGACTCTAAATCTTATTCGGGGCGACTCCAAATTTTGTTGGGGGCGACTCTAAATTTTGTTAGGGGCGACTCTAAATTTTGTTGTTAGGGGCGACTTTAATTTTGTTAGGGGCGACTCTAATAAATCTTGTTCGGGGCGACTCTAAATCTTGTTCGGGGCGACTCTAAATCTTGTTCGGGGCGACTCTAAATTTTGTTCGGGGCGACTCTAAATTTAGTTAGGGGCGACTCTAAATCTTGTTCGGGGCGACTCTAAATTTTGTTAGGGCTAGGCTTATGAAGCCACAGTGCGTCGTAATTTGGACAAAAAGTCACATTTACTTTTTAATGTGATTCCCACTCGAACGATATACAAATTCAATAATTAGTGGCTTAAAGAATTTATAATTGAAATACATCATGAGATACCGGTACCGCATGCTAAATTACACAGGAAAGGTGCACATCACCTTCAATTATTCAAGAAATTAACTTCAGTCAATAAAATAAATTCATAAATGTCTGATTATTACATGCATTTATAATTTATATCATTAATCTGCCTATAGGTTGGATCATTACAAGCACTTATATCATTAGTGTGCCTATATGTTGGATCATTACAAGCATTTATATCATTAGTGTGCCTATATATTGGATCATTACAAGCATTTATATCATTAGTCTGCCTATATATTGGATCATTACAAGCATTTATATCATTAGTCTGCCTATATATTGGATCATTACAAGCATTTATATCATTAGTGTGCCTATATATTGGATCATTACAAGCACTTATATCATTAGTCTGCCTATATATTGGATCATTACAAGCATTTATATCATTAGTCTGCCTATATGTTGGATTATTACACGCACTTATATCATTAGTCTGCCTATATGTTGGATCATTACAAGCACTTATATCATTAGTCTGCCTATATGTTGGATCATTACAAGCACTTATATCATTGGTCTGAATTTAAAACAAGAATTTAAAAGCAAAGAAAACTCCACGTAAATACACAACATATTTGGTGATAAGGCGAATTTACTTCACGGTTCCATGGCTTTTAAATCTTTATAGGATTTATCAGACTTGATAAATGATATTATCTGTGATATTTATAAATTATTTATCAATTATGTTCAACCCTCAAGATGTTAATTGGGGCGCCATATACCAATCTTAATTAATCTATTATAAATTATTTTCTATACGTTGATAAATGAATATTGATCCAGGCTATAAATAACAGATCTAAATTAGTACCTTTTATCTTTATAACTAATTCCGGTAATATTACTACTAAATCTTTTATAATAAATGAAATAATAAAATAAAATAAACAATAATAATTTTATAATAAATAATATAAATAATATCTTTTATAGTAAATGATATTACTAAATAAATATTGCTAGGACCTACCAGCCTTGAGGCGCGCCAGGGCTCGCGACGTCTCCTCCTCCTGCTGGGGGGAGAGCTTAGCGTACCCCCCCCTGGTGGGGTACCTGCTGGGGGGCGGCGTGCCCCTGTACTCTATAACTGCTATGTGCTGTAGATAATAACAATAACGAATAACGTTATTATTATATTAATTAATATAATATTAATATATAACAAAAATAACGAGTAATGTTAATATTATATACAATAGAGAATATTGTTATATGAATTATATAAGAAAAATGTACACCTGTACTCTATAACTGGCATGTGCTGTAAATAATAACAGTAACAAATACAACAACAAACAAATACAAATAAAATAGAGACAACAACAAATACAAATAAAATAGAGAATATTATTAGAGACTATTAATACATGAATTATACAGAGGAAATGTGCCCCTGTACTCTACACAAGGCATGTGTTGCAAATAATAGCAATAATGAGTAAAGTTAATATTAAATACAATAGAGAATATTATTACATGAATTATATAAGAGAAACGTACACCTGTACTCTACAGCCGGTATGTGCTGTAAATAATGGCAATAACAAATAAATATGCATTAATATTAATACATAATATACATATTATTAAATATGTAGGTATCATTTAATACATATTATAATTTAATGTTAACATTAAATACGATTGAGAATATCATAATATGAATTATATTCAGAGAATTGTTCTAACGGTAATATTAAATACAAATACAGGACATTGAGGACATAGAGGACACAGATGACATACAGTGGGGGGAAATAAATATTCGTACACTTGAAAAATCGTATTTTAATGTATGTAAGTACACAAACTTAACAGGAAAAGTGATTTAAATTATGTATAGAGACGCATAGTATTCAAAAATACTATCAAAAGAAATTAAATCTCAATGCAACAAAAAACAATGCAACATCTGTCTCTTATACACATCTAGATGTGTATAAGAGACAGCTAAATCCGCATTATTNATGTGAGGGTAGAACAAGGTAAAAGTGAGGGTAATGTGAGGGTAAAACAAGGTAAAAGTGAAGGTAATGTGAGGGTAGAACAAGGTAAAAGTGAGGGTAATGTGAGGGTAAAACAAGGTAAAAGTGAAGGTAATGTGAGGGTAGAACAAGGTAAAAGTGAGGGTAATGTGAGGGTAAAACAAGGTAAAAGTGAAGGTAATGTGAGGGTAGAACAAGGTAAAAGTGAGGGTAATGTGAGGGTAAAACAAGGTAAAAGTGAAGGTAATGTGAGGGTAGAACAAGGTAAAAGTGAGGGTAATGTGAGGGTAAAACAAGGTAAAAGTGAAGGTAATGTGAGGGTAGAACAAGGTAAAAGTGAGGGTAATGTGAGGGTAAAACAAGGTAAAAGTGAAGGTAATGTGAGGGTAGAACAAGGTAAAAGTGAGGGTAAAACGAGGTAAAAGAGAGGTAAAAGTGAGGGTAATAGCCCCACCTTGGGTCTGGAGTGTCGGGAGGCGCGGTCTACTGCCGCGGTCTGGGCGCAGTAGCTGCCCTGGTACTGCAGACTGCGCCATACACTGCGCTGTACTGTGATGCAGTCCAGCACTGTACTGCTCAAACTGCAACGTCAACACTGCAGTTACTGGCACACTGCAGTGCTGCCAACACTGTACAGTAACTGCATGATACAGTAGCTGCATGATACAGTAGCTGCATGATACAGTAACTGCATGATACAGTAGCTGCATGATACAGTAGCTGCATGATACAGTAGCTGCATGATACAGTAGCTGCATGACACAGTAGCTGCATGACACAGTAACTGCATGACACAGTAACTGCATGAAACTGCAATGGCAACGCTATCTGTAAACTAAAGATACACCTGTAGGAAAGAAATTACAGTTCAAAGCAAACTGTAATACAGAAGCTAATGCTTTAAAAATAAATTATAATACAAAGAAAGCTGCTGCAGTAAGATCTGAATTTCATTAAAACTGCCAAAGAAACTGCTATTTAAGTAAAACTTCAGTAAAAGAACACTGCAGCAGCGGCAACAAAGCTAGAGAAGAAACTGCCGTACAAAAAAAACAGCGAATCTTACTTTCACATCAATAATATTAATAAAAATAATAGGTATGATGTAAGGCTGAATAATACGTATACCTACTATTTGTAGCATGAATAAAACTAGAGCATAAGAAAAGATGAGGTGTGCATCAAAAATAAAGGCCAAGTTAATTATTATTCTTTTCACTAATTGACCTAACATCGGAAATGAGATGCTGAATAATTTGGTAATTAAATTTAATAACAGAACTGCGTCACGAAATAATATATTAAATATTGTACGCCTACATTGCGACTAGTATTGCTTGGATCAGGGGCTAACTAAGGGGTCTGACCAGCTACCTAGGGTGCAGGGGTCTGACCAGCTACCTAGGGTGCAGGGGTCTGACCA